GTGGAGGGGGATGGCATTTTGTGAGTCGACACCCACCTCAGCCCCACAATGGTTGGAGCTGAGGTGAGAAAATTTAAGGAAATAGCACCTTTCGAGATGGCTGGAAATGACACTTTTATATAGTAAAATTCATCATCATCACATTACCATTATAGTCAAAATGAAACGCCAACAAATTTCTCATGATCTTTTATCAGGGATATACATAATATCCAGGACAACTTAGGCCTAATTATAGCTTACTAAGCTTTAACTATATATACTATATTATGATCAACAAAAAACTTTTTTCGCATTTAGCACAATTTTCTTCACTTTTTATTGTTATTAATATTAATATCAATTATTACTATCGTCATCATCATCATTGTTATTATTATTATTATTACTATTAGTAGTAGTATTATTAAACAAACATTTAAAGAAACTTGCAAAAGGATAAAGTCGAAATTGAACCACAGTATCGCATTTCTATCTTAAAAGACCTGGCCTGAGATTTATGGATTTAAGATTTTTTTAATCACGCTTAGGCCTATGTGTTCTATAAGGCCTATGTATAACGTGTACTGATGCATATTTACATGTTTAGAAGTATTCATTTTGAGTGATCCCAGGAAAGAATTTGTATTGGCTTAAGAATAAGCTTTAAAATTTTAACACTGTGTACAAAGGGGGGGGGGAAGCCGCGGCTCCCACGGCTCCCCCCTGGATACGTCCCTGGCTCCACTCAATTTACATTATCTACCCGCTTATTTACCAGCCACTCGACCGCCGCCTTTTGTTGGGCAAGTTCAGCGAGCTCTTGATAAACTTGTTCCTTACAAGGCTGGTCACGCCGACAAACCTCCTATTAGATTATATAAAGAATTTGCTCCTTGGCTTGGGAGTTATGTCAACTTGTGTACCATTGACTTCACAAAGGCGTTTGATCGTGTCGATCACAATGCTGTGGTTAGAAATTTAATTCATCTTCGGGTGATATCGTCCATAATTCCTATCGTCTGTAGCTTCTTACTGGGTGGTCTTCTAACACAAAATTTGCAAGAATCAAGTCAACATACATGTCACTGTCCTGTGGTGTCCCCCAAGTAACACTATTTGGTCCAGTGTTACTCTTGCGGCATTAAGTATGCTAGTGTCGTTTGCTGCAGATGATGGAAATAACAATGTTTACGATCTCACCCTGGGTGAAACCGTTCATAACGGAGATATGCCTTCCTTGCAGACTACAGTATGTTGGATAATCTAAGAGGTTGGTGTTAATCCAACTATATGATCCCTAATCCCAATAAATGCAATATTTCCTTTGTTAATTTCCTTAAGAATAAACCTGCTGATGTTCCCTACTTTATGTTTTTATCTTGCAGTGTTAGAAATAAATCAATAATTACAAAAAAAAATTGTATATAATTCAATAATAATCATTTTTATATTATTTATATCTTTATGTTTATAGTATTTTGATGACATTAATGACAAGTTTAGGTGTTATAATTAAGCCTAGTAATTTCTTAGTTGATATCTCTTTGAATGTACTTTAAATGTTTTGTCCTTTCTTGGTTTAATCTTGTATACATATAAAATTTCCAATAAAATTATATATATATTTTTTGTAAGTACACTCATTTCAACCCTTGGCTGGTGTTTGTACATTTTTATATTATACCTCAATGAATTAAAACATAAATAATTTGAGGGGAAAATAATGACATACTGTCGTTTATTACTGAATCTTTAACGGGTGCGACCACATGTCACTGTTTACTTCCGCATTCCCTAGCCCTTTCTGCCAGTTGTTTTAAATGGAACGCCAAAAGAGCAACATTAAACGTGCGTACTTTTGCATATGGCTATATATGGAACACTAAAAGAGAAACTTTCAAACTTTTTAAGCACACTCGGTATTTGTTACTATTATTACTACTATTATTATTATCATTATCATTGTTATTATTATTAATATTGTTGTCAATTGTTATTGTTATTATTATTTTATTTTAAGTGTTATTATTAGGCCTACCCTTAATGTTAACTATTGTATAATTACTGCTTACTGTCATTATTGTTATTATGTTATTATCATTTATTATTATTATTATTATTATTATTATTATTATTATTATTATTATTATTATTATTTATATTATTATTATTATTAGTGTTGTTGTTGTTGTCATTATTGTAATTATTTAATAACAGTAACAATAACATTGTTACTGTTACTGTTATTGTTTTTGTTATTATTTTACTATTATTGTTCTTATTATTATTTTATTGTTATTGTTATAGTTGTTATTATTGTTATATATTATTGTTATTATTATTTTATAATTGCTATTAATGTTATAGTTAATATTTGTGCTATTATGTCTTACTGTGTATTTGCTTTTAATACTTTTGCTTTTGACGAAACAGACCAATTGGTAGATAGAATATTTTTTTCAATAAACCTACCATATCAAAATATTACTTACCAAATGAATTCAAGGAGAAGTTGAACAATATTGAATATAAAAATATTGATTCTATTTTAATATTATTGTATTAATTTATAAAATTTTAATTTTGATATTATTTCGGTAACAAAAACTTTGAATGGATTTAAATAGCCCTCTCATTCACATTCCAAACTATTCTACAATATTTAAACCTCGTTCCTATAAATGTGGAGGAGTACATATTTTTATTACCAACAATATTAGTTACAAAATTAGTAATGATTTAATACCATCCCAATATTTTGTGAATCTAAATTTATTGAATTAATTACAAACAAACATAACCTAATAATGGTACTATTATAGTATTGATTCATTCAGCATCAATGATGTCGCTTTTTTTTTATGATCACAGCCTATCAACCATTGTCATATTTTCAATATCAGTAATACATGCAAACCAAATAAACCAACAAATAATCATAAACAGCAATCCATAAAAATCAATGAATATAATATCTACAACTTTCAGAATGACCTAAAGGATTAAACAGTTCATTTGAAAATGTCATCAATGCCTCTATGCATATGATTTATTTTTAAATAGGTACTCGTCTTTATATAACACACATAATTCCTTTAACTCAACATAATACTATTAAACATGAACCTAAACTGAAACTATGGGTGACTGGCAGATTGCTAATCTCAATGACATATAAACATAAACTTTATTTTAAAAACCTTCGTCAGCCATTAACTCTAATATTTTAAAATACAAGCATTATCAAAACAAACTAAACGCAAACCTTAAAACCGGCAAAAGAAATTATTATTCTGACATTTTTAGCAAATTATAATCCAACATCAAATGTACCGGGCGTGTTATTAATTCCCTTCTTAAATCATCTTCAAACAATAATAAATCATCATTTGGCATTGGGATTATGGTGTATGACGAACTAACAAAAGATCCCTTAAAAGTTGTAAACTTATTAAACAATCACTTTACAAATATAGGCCTTAAACTTGCTATAGAAATTAACAATAATTCTTTTAAATATCCACCGATTACTAATTCATTCTTTCTTTCTCCAGTTTGTGAAGACGAAGTGGTTAAGATTCATGCTCCGGGCATTGATGACGTGGTAACGTTGTTAAAAAAAAATCTATTGGTACTGGTATGGGCATTTATAATGCGCCACTTCCTTGTCGTTATAAAGTGCAGTTCTTTTTTCCTGGTCATTGGGTTGATATGCTTTTTAAGTGTTGCTGCTGGTAATCAACAGGCAACCCCATCAGGTACTTATTTATACTCCTGGGTGGAGAGAGGCAATGCGGATAAAGTGCCTTGCTCAAGGACAGAAGCGAAATGCACAGTGAGGTATTGAAAGCCAGACCTTGAGGTTGGGAAACCAAACATATTTTGAAAAAAGGGCAATAAAACTGAACACAACAATTACAGTCCAATTTACATTCTTCCATTTTTTTAAGGTCCTTAAACAAATTTTTATGATCGTACTTATGATTTTATTAGCAAATATGATATTTTTTATTTAGGCAGCTTGGTTTTAGAAACAAAATATCCACTTCTTCTGCCTTAACTGATATTACTAATTAAATAAATGATGCAATTCAAAATAAATCATTTTCATCCGGACTATTTATCGATCTGTCTAAAGCACTGTTTGTTTCTTTGTTTGTTTTTTATGTGTTTTGAAATTTACTATTATCATAGTTTATATTATTTGGCTAGTCGGACACATTAAGTTTTAGCTGATCTTTTCAACCAAAACCGAATTTACCTTTTGGACTGTTGCCTGTTTCATCGTTAACATGTTAATTACTATTACTCAATTTAATTATCATTTTTTACTGTGTTCAAAGAAAAGATGATAGAAATAAAATATTGTTAAAATGAAAAAATAAAAAAAGAAAAGTGTTCAAGTACAGTCGTTTAACAAACACAGTCGATTTTCATAAAGCACAGTTGGTTTTCAGTTTCTTAATGAATTCGAGTAAAATTTTGCTTTAGCTGCACCTGACCAATTCTCTCATCTCATTTTAGTGGTTTCTAAATATTTTTATGTTATGAAAAATAATATGAAACTGCTATCAGAAACTGTACCTGAACTCAACACTAATTATCTACGTCAATTTTACGACTGCATTTCTGACATTACGTAAACAAAATAACTGAGAGAGATAACATGATACATGCAACCTATCTTTTAGTGGTCATATTTTTTTTCTTTTCTTATTATTATTATTATTGTATTATTATTATTATTATTATTATTTATATTTATTTTTTATAATTCTATAAAAAAAATATATAATTCTTATTATTGGTAATAATTATTATATTTAGTAATATTCATAATAACTAATTATGTAATATTACTATTAGTATTATTAATTAGTATAGGATTATTACTACTATCGTTATAATTATTATTATTATTAATATTTATGTATTTATCATCATTTTATTTAAATTTATCATTACTAACAATTGTGTAGTGTGATAAGCCTACCATTCTAAATAATCAAATAGTAAGGTCAAGTTCGTCAAAGTCAATACTTCTTAACTGTTAATGATACCATGTACATTAATCCTGTTTAGCCTTCATCCTACCAAGTACAAATACAGTGTTCCAATGATTTTTGTTATCAACTCGCCATATTTCGACTTCATAATCGCATCACACTATACATTAGGCCGATACATTGCCTTCCATAGTCTGTTACAGTATATCAAACACATTGTAAAAAAAAAATATCGGATACGACGAAATCGAAAACATCGCTCTACTCAAATTAGAAAAAGGTAGGTAAAAATAGAAATAATTATTTCTGATTCTGCATCTTTTTTTTTTTCATTTTTTTTTCTAAAGTGCTTGATTACATGATACAGTTTTTGAAGGCAAGTGTATAATATTGGTTTTTCATAGGTACAGTTATAACGATAGCAGTTTATAGTTACCGAATTAACAAAGCTAATACTTAATAATACTTAAGTATTATTTTTGTTATATACTGTAATTATAAACTGTTATCGTCATAACTGAAAAGTTATTCTAATCGGATTTTAATTGCAAAATAAAGCCTCACTGGCCAAGTTGGCGTATGCATAGGCAGTTATAAGGTCCCGGTTTACAATGCCAGTTAGAGCAACATTTTCACACTTGCAGATCAGTAGCGTGTCCAGGTGTCTTGATGTGGGGAAGCTGATGGGGGCGCAAAGGTGAAGTTTTGAGCTGATCAGTTGAGTGGGAGTAAACTGGCAAAACAAGGTGACTTTAGGTGCTTTTTTTACACCTTGATCGTGATCTTTAAGAGGCGCCTGAGGCGCCTCTCGCGCACACCCATAGATACACCACTGTTGCAGATACCTCTTCTTTAAGGTATAAACATGTTTATTTATGTTATGGTCTAGATCATTTATATACGGTACGGTACGGTATTATAATAATAATATTAATAAAAATAATAATAATAATAATAATAATAATAATAATAATAATAATAATAATAATAATAATAATAATAATAATAATAATAATAATATAATAATAATAATAATCAATCAACAATTAATCAATCTGATTATTTATAATACTAATAAACGGAAAATAGTTTTTTACTTTATTTTAACATCAGTTTTACTTCTCATTATGTCAATGTAGGAAAAGCCCAATGTGTTGTAGCGAAGAAAAAAAAAAGTATCAGTCATTTATGCTGGGGACCAGGAAGCCGTTAAGAATCCTCGGTGGCGGTTACGTACATGACATTTTTTTCTGATTTTTTCTTTTTTTTTCCCCTTTTTTTTGTGAATTTTATTAGTTATTTGATATTCTATTGTGACTTCATAACTTTTCTAATGTCAAAGTCGACGTTGCTTTCACAATCACAATATAATCCAAGCATCATGAGGGTAGGCCTATACATAATGAGGCACAGAATTTTCCTTTGTCAGATAAATAATAAATTATTAGTAAAGTAAGCAACACAATAAATAGGCCGGCCGAAAGAAAATAATATGAGTAGATCATATGTCTTGTGCAGAGACATGTTCACTTCAACAGAGTTGAATCTTCCTAGAACTAAATTTGGATAATCGTAGGCCTACATGCTTTATCAACCAGAAAGCTGGTGAAAAGTGATTCTACATAGAGCCAGCAAGTTTGTCAGTAGGTTTAAGCATTAATGCCTACGTGTAAATAATAATAATAATTATTATTATTAATAAAATCATTATATATAATGAAGATGATATTTGTGATAATGATAATATTAATAATGATGGTAAAGATAATAACAATAATTATATAATACTAAAAACATTAATATGATTTAAATCAATAACTCATAATATTATATTTTAATAAGCTAAACGACTCGAATGAAACTGATATTGAAGGAGTAAAGTCTTAACATTAAAGCAAGCTTATTTATTGTCAGTGTTACCTATCACCGTTAATCGTTGATTGCGCTAATGATTAGAAAATAATCATTTTTTTAGTGTAGGTCTACCTCTGTTTATTCTAAACTAAAGTATATCAATTTTTTTCAGATTTGTAATTTCATTTTTTTTTCATTTATTCGGGCAACTACTTTATTCAACCAATCAGGCCACCGGCCCATAAGGCCATAAATATTATTTTATAAAACTAAAGCATTAACATGATCATTTTTACTTAGATGTCTTATATCAATTTCAAAAGACATTTATTTACTTTCATAAAACAAAATAAAATATACAATGCCATATGATTTAAGATAAAACGGAAAACAAGCTAAGTAAAAAGGCATGATTCCGAGAAGATAAAGATCTTGTGCTGGGCACGCCTTAAAGGAAATAAAAGTCGAAACAAACATATAAAGGAAATCAAAGAACAAACAACAATTGAACGAATGAATGAATGGATGGGTGGATTGATGGACTGGTAGGCAAAAGGCCGGGTGGCGAAAGGCCGGCTGGCACAGGCCAGGTGACAACAAGCAGCAAACCCTATTTGTTAATGACTTACTAGTAAAGAATAAATACCGTTTTTCAATAGTAAAGTGCATATCAAATTCCATAAATGATTCCTTCCATATTGATTGCTTAAAATTTGATTATAGTTTTTCTTTTTATCTTATAGAGTAATGTAATGAACCACATTTGCTGTAGGTAAAAATATATATATATAATGCGATTTATCCATGTATTTTGTTTTAGGTTCGGCTGTCGTATTTGGCGAAACGATAGACATTTGTTCACAACATCAAACGTGTCAAGGTAGATGTGGAAACCCACCGACTAATGGATCTGTGTGCAACTGTGATTCACATTGCCAACTTTATGGTGACTGTTGTTATGACTACTGGACAAATTGCGCAGTTAAAAACACTCTAAGTCCCTCTCAATCGTTCTGGGATCGTACAGTGTGTAGAGACTCCTATCGATTTTACCTGATCTCTAAATGCAGTCCAAATACCATTGATTATGTCAATTGGTCAAAATGTGAGAAACCAAATCCAGACGATCTCCTTCAGAAAATCCCAGTCAGTGATTCATTTAATTGCTGCGAAGCAGCCAATTCATATTCTTGACAGCAATTTGACCTCTGAAAGATAAGATTTTCTTTATTGTCACGTTTACAATGAAGTATACATGAAATTTTTCCTGTTGACACTTGAAATCTTAACTACTAGATAAAAACATACATAAGGCGAAATAAAAAAATAAGTTACGTTATCACAAAACCATTTTACATATATACAGGTCGTTCAAGCAAATAAATATGGATTATCTTTTTTGAGTTATGTAAGTGGATGGAATTATGCACAAATGATTTTCTGCATCTATTTGTTTTATATTTCATAGGAAGTAGTCGGCCAGATCTACAGATAATGAGCTCCTTATGTAGCGGATGGAAGTTGTCTTCTAGAATTTTCTTTAAATGAGTAATGGCCTCTCTCTCATAGACATCTTCAACCTTATTTACATCATTTTCAATCAACTTGCGGGCATTTTTTGTGATTTGATCAATTTTCATCTTATTGTACTCAGTAAGGCTGTTGTACCATGCTACACATCCATACGATAGCACACTTGTTTGATAGCACACTTGTTTTGTTTGTCAAAAAACAAGGGCCTAAGACGACTAAAAAGCTCACACTTGCGATGTCTTGCACTTGTGCTCAAATAACACGCTGGCTCGCACTTTGGCAACACTCTTTGGCAGTCAACTCGCCCCTAGAAAACCCGCCCTTGGAAACTTGCCCCATAAAAAAAATGTACACTTCCTAGACCATGCAGTCTTCAAAATAAAAATTGTAACCTTTGGTAATCAACTACGTAACATTTTCCACATACATAGACATTTTTGAAACTTTATTAAAAACAACCTAAACCATAATTCACCACTATAGACACAAAAATGAAAAATTACGACTTTGTTACCCAATGAGAAGTGTTGTAATATAGACAATGGGTCGTGTCTCATATTATTTGTTACATTTTTATTATTCATTATTTTCACTTGACTCGCATAAATAATTTTGTTCGAAGAACATTTATATGCAGTTGTACTTCGCAGCACTTCACTTGCAATTTGCAATTTCTAGTATAGCTTATTATAATGTGTGCTCTTTGTAATGGAGTGTCTGTATTGGATGTCGTAGCCTGGGAAATAACAGCCCAATGCAGATATGCTAATATAGGGTACTATAACAGCCATTTACTAACAACAACAATGGCTCCAACAACTCGGATAAGTTTTCGAAATATTCTTTCTGATATAGATCGTGCAGAAAAATGTTATTATGAGTATCAACCTGTTGGAAATCTAAGTAAGCAACACTGTTCAAATGAATATGGATTTACGCATTGCCCAATGCACTATGCAGATGAAGAAGTGGCCAATTATTGCAAAATGTATAGGGCACCTGTGCACAAAAATGGCGTCGTTTACGCTAATGCACACTGTGCACGTTGTCACGGAATATTAGGCTCTGTTTGTAAAAGTGTAATCCCCGAAATTCCCGACTTTTTAATACCCGAAGGAGAAATTATACCTATTAGTATCTTAGTAGATTTTTCATCTGGTAGTGTTAGCGTTGAATCCCCATCAGAGAAATTCACCAGTGAAAACGTTGATTGTGGATTAGGCCGAGTGTACAACCCATTTAATGACAAATGTATTGAAACTGTCTGCGAGCAGGGCAAAGTCTCTACTGAGATTGGCTGCATTGAATTGATTGAATTCCCTTTTGCAGTAGCTGTACCTGTACCAACAGAGAATCCATCTGGACAAACTATTGAATTTCTATGTTCTTGTAACAGGTCAAGTATTGTACAAGTACGTTATAACGCTAACAATGAATCAATACCAGCAAAATGTATAACTCAGATGACGTCATTAATACAAGGATATGACACATTGTTCGATGTTTATCACTTTGGTACATCAAATTCTTTAATTTTATTCGAAACATCAGAGTACCAGCTACTCAACGAAGTGCATACATTAATTTATCAACAATTCAATAGTAACCACAGAAGTTTGTTGAAAAATATTACATTGACACAGATTTGTGAAAATGAAAATATGATGTCACTAGGTGTTGGGCGCTGTGATAATCGGTTCTTCAATATAAACACGTTAAACGTTACAAAACAAAGTGAAGGGTTCACAGTTACAGACGAAAATAATAATTTCATAATAACAAGTGATTATCAAGTGAAAATGACATACATAATTGCGAGTAATACAACTTTAAGCACACTAAGAATAGCCAACTGTTCATATAGCACAACCTGCCCTCTAGTCGCTCTTGACATAATCGATTTTTATATTTTCAACAATAACACTTGGGTTTACAAACCTACCGATCGTCGATTCAAACATGATGAAATTACAATCATGTTTAATGATACAGTTCTTGTCTGTTCAATTTTCTCACCAAATGGAACAAAAACATCTTCGGTAACGTTTTTTGTTTACGAGGACACCCTACAAGTTGTCAACCTAGTTGGTGTGTTTTGTTCTCTGCTAGGTTTATTTCTGACATTGGTCGTGTATTGTGCCTCCAAGAAACGCGAAATGTATTCTGGTACAATTGTAATAAATATTGCAGTGTCGTTGTTTCTTGCGCAGCTACTGACATTATTTGCGGGAATGGTTACTACTCAATCTAAGCACGCATGTGCTGCTTTTGCAGCGCTTCTGCATTATCATTGACTGGTAGCCTTCATGTGGATGTTTTTGATGTCGCTAATTCTATTTAAATCTTTCCGTTCGTTTAAGTCTTCCCTAGATAGCCGTCATCAGAAGCAGTCTATAAAAAGTTTCGCATTAGGTTTTGGTTGGGGATTTCCTTTTGGATTCGTGGCTATCCTTTTTACTCTTCATTTATGCGATTGCGTAGACTTACCTTTTCATTTTCTGTATGGTGACGATACCGTTTGCTGGATACTTGGCGAGTTTTCTGTGTTCCTATTCCTTGGAATTCCCATGTCTATAATTTTGTTTTTAAACAGTTCTCTGTTCTTAGCCACAGCTTATGGAATTTATCGATCCAAGAAACACTCAAAGGAAATTCTACGTGATTTGAAAAAGAATAATATCATGGAAAGTCTCATCATTTATGCAAAGGTGGATAACTGTAATTTTTATTAGAAATTTTGGAATCTTTAAATTCTATTTTTTATGTGAATTCTGACGATTTACTGATAACTGATCTGTTTTACATTGACATATTCTAATAAAATGATACGGAAATTTAACATGTAACTAATAGAGTAAAGGCAGTCGGTATAAATTCAACTGAATAAAAAATACACATTCAGTATAAATCACCATTGTCATCTATAATAATATATTGGTATGGGATAATGCCTACAATAATAATAAATCTGTGATATATATTAAGAATACTAAAAAATAGAAACGAAAAAAACAATAATAATAATAATAATAATAATGATAATAATAATAATAATAATATTCTAAACGTTTAAACTTTTGATCACAACACAAACAAATTTCATTACCGTGAAATTTTCGACCGTAATGCCACGGTCTTCCTCAGCACAATGACTGGAATAT